AATTAGCAAGAGTAGCCACACAAGAGAAGCTGCTATTACAAGAATGCTTGGAGCTTTTAAAAACCATTTCTGCTCTGCAGGTTAGAACAAATACATTAATATTCTCCATAAAAACTATTGCTCGTTGTAAATATAGTGGTTTGACCCCCTTTTTTTTTGGTTTATGGGCAGATAAAAGAAAGGACCTTGAAGTGTAGCATCATGCAAATAAACTTATTCCAGCAGCAGCACAATCATCAACAAGCTATTTCCACATAACTTATTTTCTCTAATTTAGTTCCATTTTTATCTTTTGTTTGCAGTCCATCAGATTTTTTATTTATTTATTTACACTGTGATGAATAATTGAGGTAATCAAAGGAAGATATGTATGTATGTACCAAATTAATTAAAGGAGAATGTGGTAATTAAATATTGGGTACAAACAATCAAATCACTCATGTTGATAAAACTTTAGCAAAATTTAAATGAAACAAGGTTATAATATATTAGTTCTAGATTTTGTAAGGTTATAGGATAGTCTTAATTATCTTAATTATGTTCAATCATAGGTAAAAGACAAAGAAAATTTGGTCTTTCAAGAAACACAAGTCCTAAAATATGTAAAATTTGCTCTTTTATGATAATCCCTTACTTTTTAAGTGAAAGCCAAAAGAAACACAAACCCTGGTGACACCGTGATCTAGAGATGCCTACTGAAAAGAGTGCCCAAAAGAAGTCCTTAAGAGTACAAGGCCGCCCTCAGAGAACAAAGACAAACCTCCATTAATGAAAGACGAGTCGTCAAAGAGGCCTTGGTGGGGGTTTGAATGTGATTAGAGTTGGGGTTTGGATTCTCTTACCATCTTTATTGGTACAAAAGGTATTACAAGAAGTGGAAGCACTGCGCGTTACGAAAAACCTTAAACCATTACTCTAGCTAAGAACTAGGAGTTCTTCTATTTACTTTCCATCCCGAGAAGTACAACTTATACTCCAAATACAAACTCCGTCGCTATATGAATGTCTCTTCAACTCGCTCACCCCTTTTCTTTTGAATGATATGTTTAGTGTTCCAGAAATTATGTTTTACTTGACTGATTTAAGTGAATGGTCTAACTGATTTTTTTACCAAAACTACAATTTTGACCACTACAATATAATAACTGCACCGATATGAGGTTTGTAGAAGAAGGTGCTCCAAGTTTCACGTGAACCGGGCTCAGTATTGACCAATCAACACCAGTGACAAACCCAATCACAAACAAACACACTCCACACGACTGATTGCTCAAGAAACTGCCCACAGAAAAGGACTAGGGATGGAGGATATAATAGCCACAGGAATTAGCCACAAAAGGTTGAAGAAAGGAAGAGAGCACAAGCACAAAGCAGTGAGCACGAGCGTGAAGGCAGAGAGCACGAAGCAAGCCAAAACCACCATTTTTCTTCACAAAAGGCTATTAATTTTCACTCACCAAGCAACAGTAATGGGCACGGTAAATATACAGGAAAATTAGGAATGGGCTTTAAGTTACAAAAGGTAGGGCCAATAGGAAATATGTAAGTGGGCTAACAAACCGAAAAAACTATCGAGGTCTTGGGTTGGGCCATGAGCAGCACTAATTAAATTATGGGAAATTATAAAAAATCAGGAGTTTAAAGTTTACTTTTTAAAAATCAGGTGCAAAGTTTGTTTAATCAAAAATCAGTTAATATATTAAGACATAACCCTAATCCCAAACAAAATCTAAATCATTTCTATTTTATTCCTCCTCTACATTCTCAACCGAGATAAGATGTTTGTTGGAAGTTTTTGACGATGAAGTCATCGGAGAAAATAGATTGGGGGGCTGTAACTGCACTAGCTTGAAGGAAGATGGGCGATTAATAGGTGACCATCGTCAAAGCGATCTGTTTAGGAGTGCGAATCGACAAGGACGTCATCAAATTTCCTTGTGCTCTAATTCCATTCCACTTTCTACTTCGCAAATAGAGAGAAAGAAATGGTTCTGCTCTGTTTCATTCCCTTTTTGCTTTGCAGATAGATAGAGAAATTATTTTTTAGTTCTTAATCATCTGATTTTTGATAATTAAATCTTAAATATTTGGTTTTAGGAAATTTTCCCTTATTTTCATCCATGATATTGCGCCCATCTAATGAATTAAGGGAAAATTACATAAAACCAATTGTTTATTTTCAAGTTTCTGAAAAATCAAGTTTATACTTTATTTAATCAAAAATCAAGTTTTAATTTCACAATTAATATTAATAATAATATTTTGAATTAAATTAATCTATAGATCCACCATACCACCTACCCCACCAAATTTCAATCCCATTTCTCAAACCCACCCCCCTCCACCTCCCCCTCCCCCTCCCCCTATGATTGTCAGTGAACGGCAGCGTCGCAGTAGCGTTGACGCTGCTGTCGACGTCGCGACGCAGCTATGAATCACAACAACGTTGCGTTGCGACGTTGCTATGACGCGACACTCCTAACACAGTAGTGTCGTGATCGAGCTGTTATAGGTGGATGTGTCTCGAAGGTGGGTATGTGGTAAGCTTTGGCAACGCCGAAAATGTCTCAGAATAGCTAGGTTGTAATTGTGGCGACGAATTTGGTGGCGACGAGCAGATGGGACAAAGAGTGTTTGTGACCAACTATTTGGTCGATCTGTGACCAAGTATTGGTGGTGTACTGGGATTGGAGAACAGGTGTTTAGGTGTATGTGACCAACTATGTGGTCTTTGACCTTAAAATTCGTTAATTTATGACTCAAAATATAATATGTGACCAACAAATTTAGAAATATGGGATCTTTGTGACCTATAATTTTTTTAACTTGTGACCTATAATTTTTTTGATAAGTGACCAATGAAGTCAATTGTGACCTATAAATTTTTGAATTTGTGATTTCGAAATAATCTGTGATCAATTAATTTGATAAGTTGTGACCTAAAATTAAATTTTTAACCACTTAATAAAATATCTGTGACATCGGAATTGGAGCAGTTATCGGGTTTAAGCGTAGTCGAAAAACAGTCGTCGGAGTGGTTGCCGGTCACCGTAATAGTCGTCGGAGCTATTGGGGATGGGGAGGGGGAGGCGGAGGGGGAGGTGAGGTGGGGGGGTTGGGGTGGGGTTGGGTGGGATAATTATATTATATTACAATTTAATATTTAATTTAATATAATAATTGTGAAATATAATTAATTAATTCATGGAAAACCCTATTTTTGCAATTTTAAAACTTGGGGCCTAATTTTTAATTTCATGATAGATAATACCTGATTCATAAATTTTTTTGATGAATTAACCCAAAGTCAGAGTGTGACCCAATCCAGAGTAAAATTGTCAATGGGCTTCTCTATTCTGCGTGGCTCTTTAACTGGCCCAATCTTTTTTCTAGTTTTTGAGTCTTCAAAGTTGAACAAATAAAATGAAGCCCTTGTTTGGGCTCCCTTTTAATGAATTTTTGGAAAAAAAATATATTTTAGAATACTGATTTTTTAGAAATTTTGATTAAAAGAGAATGAAAAATTTTGAATTTACGTATATTATTATTTTATCGAAAAATATGTGTTTAAAAAAAAAAGAAAGAGAAAAATACGTTAAAATTAAAATGAAACCAAACGAGAGCTAATGATCGTATATATTAATAACAAAAGGTGATGTTGCAGAACTGAGAAAATCGTGAGGTCGATCGCTAAAGACTTGTAATATATATTATGTAAATTCTGTTAGAAATATAAATCATATCTAAAATGAAAACTAAATCTAGATGCAAACCTCCTAGATTAAGATAATCAAAAGTCTAGGATCTACATCATGCCAGAATATTAGAATTCACGGATTCGGGTTATATACCTGGATCCTTATGAACGGTTGTTTACTGTTGCGGAATTATTATGACAATCGATCACGTACTGATGAACACGAACGAAGGGGTGTGGTTTGTGATCTTCCTCAACTAAATCATCTCATTTCCTCAATGGAACCGTCGTCTCTCTTCCAAATGAGAAGAAGAGAAACTATGTATAATTTGGTATGTTAGGACCATAACCAAAAATATTTTTATATATTACTCAATTAGAGTTCACATAATCCCTTAATTATAACAATATTGGTATCTACTCAATTAGTTCATATTTATTAAATAGCTAATATAATTGAATTAAATATGTTGTCATTAAATAAATAAAAAATCATTGATTTTCCTAACCTCTTAAATATTTAGGAGTGTCATTGATTTTTCTATCCTCCTAAATGATTTAGAAAACGATTGGTTTTCCTAACAAATTCTTCTTAAGAAAACTATATCCTTAGCCCTTATACTTCACTGGCATGTTTTATTATACTATATTGGAGGAATCGGTGCCTTGTGCATTTCAGTTCAGGAGTGGCGGAGGGAGGTGGGGGCAAGTAGGGTCCCTTGCTCCCGCTGAAATTTGGAAAAATTGCTAATTATTATTTGGACTTAACAATTTTTATTAAAAGATTTGATATGTCCTCAATTTTCATAAATAGGCAGCGACTTGCATTCTCGGATAGTTTGATGTCACGTAACATTTAAAATTTTTTAGTTGTTAAGAGGAGTTACAATTATTTAAATTAATTAGTCTCGTAATATTGTGCAATACTTGTAACACATGGTTTTTCATTCAAAAATTTTAAGACGAAATCTCTCCTTTTGAGTGGTGGATGGACATTGGATGCACGATATTGAAATTTCGGCTTAAAAGTACAAAAAATGAAAGCATTGCCCATGCATGGATAGAGTTTTTGCTGGAAGAAATAGCTCCTGTTTTTGTATAAAATTACCTGATTCTTGAATGCCTCTCTGTCTATTTTCCAGAATCTGGATTAGTTTAGCTGACAGCCATATGATCTGCCTCAAGGAGATGAAACTGTCCATGTGAAAAGTGAGACTGATTTGCTTAAATGGGGTTTTGCACGGTTAATTCCTCCAGGCTCCAAATAACCAAAGCTAAACTGTAGAACAACTGACTGAGCATCATGGTTTTTAATTTGCGCAACTCTTTTTTGACATATTTAGCTCTATTTTCTCTTCTATCAAACTTTTGCTCTTGCTTCAACTCCAAGATTCTTACGCTTAATGTTTCAAAACTTCAATCTGATTCTGACTGGTCACCAGCCCAAGTCAGCTGGTATGGAAGCCCGAATGGTGCAGGAAGTGATGGTAAGATACACAACCCCCCGGTCACACACAAACATAAAGAACTTAAAGTAGAAAAAGTGACAAAATAATTTGTCAATTCACCATGCACGTTGAAAATTTATTCTATAATTTTATTTTTTTATTTTTTTGCGTGTAAAGGAGGGGCTTGTGGATATGGAGATTCTGTTGGGAAACCAACATTTTCTTCCCTAATAACTGCTGCTGCTGCTTCTCTACTCAAATCAGGAAGGAGCTGTGGAGCTTGTTATCAGGTCCATGAATGCACATAAATCATGCGTGCAGATTAAAAATTTGAAGCCGATACTTATATATAGTACTGCTTGAACTGTTAATTCAGGTAAAATGTAGTGAAAATACTGCATGCTCTGGGAATCCGGTTACTGTAGTTATAACAGATGAGTGTCCTGGTTGTGACCCAGAACCAGTTCTGTTTGATTTAAGTGGCACTTCCTTTGGAGCCATGGCACTTGCTGGCAAAGCTGATCAACTCAGGAACGCCGGACGACTCCAAATACAATATAGAAGGTACGTATACTAAATTTCTTGTTCATCAAACCTACCATGATGGTCTTGTCTGCAAATGAATTTATGTCTCGAATTAATTTTCAGAGTGGATTGCAATTATCCTGGAGTATTACTATCTTTTCTAGTCGACACGGGTTCCAGCGACTACTATTTTGCTACTGTGATTGCAAATGTAAATGGGGATGGTGAGCTTGCAGGAGTTGAGCTCAAAGCATTGGACTCAAATTCCTATCTCCCAATGCAACGATCTTGGGGTGCAGTGTGGAAGCTTAATTCAGAAAATCCATTGAATGCCCCATTCTCCATTAAGTTAACTGGGGATTCTGGGAAGAGTCTTGTGGCCAACAATGTAATACCTGCCGGATGGAAGCCTGGACAGATTTATACATCAGTTGTCAATTTCTGAACTTGATTTCTAGAGAAATAAAAGTTGATTATCAAGATATTTGATTACTACACGAGACTTCTATTTGTTTCGGATTAAAATCAGATTTTACTCTAAGTTAAAGTCAAACAATTAATATTAACCACATCTTTCATGGATCACATAACTTTTCAACCACACATTTCAAAAACTTCTATCACAATCTACTAAAAATCTAACTTCAATTTTCACCAAACACCCACTTAATATTGTGCTCAAGGTCTTTAGCAATTGTGTATCAGTAGAGTTTCGATCAAACTTGAAAAACCCAGGGACATGACCTCTGTTTCTCGACTCGATGGCTGCGACTTTCACGACATGGTACTTGGACTTAGCAGGTTCGATTAAATTTGGACCAGTAAGGGCTAGATTGTTGACTGAGTCTGTATGAATTTGGACCATTATTCAAACAATTTTCTAATTTAAACAAATAAATAAATAAATAAATAAATATATATATATATATATATA